GGTGGTCAGTGTGCATCATAGTGACTGGTCAAGTGGTCGACCGAACGGGTGACCGAATGGTCAGACCCTTAGCACATTAGGCTTTTATAGATTATTTTTGCTGTAAGAAACAAGGTTGGACTATAGCTTGTTTTTTAAAAAAATTTAGTCAGTTGCCCAACATTATTTTAATTCCTTTTGCTATTGATGTGACTTTGAACTAATGTGCCATTAATTCCTCTTTCACTGATGTACTGGTACTGTACCATTGCAGGGAATGCAGCATTACAATGCCTTTATAGATCTGAAGGAGAACTCTTCCTCTTGTTACTTCTTTTTTTAAAAAAAAAATTTATTGTTCAGATTATTGCAGTTGTTCCTCTTTTTTCCCCCCATAGCTCCCCTCCACCCAATTCCCACCCCACCCTCTGCCCTTACCCCCCCCCCCACTGTCCTCATCCATAGGTGCACGATTTTTGTCCAGTCTCTTCCCGCACCCCCACACCCTTCCCCTCCCCCCCGAGAATTGTCAGTCTACTCCCTTTCTATGCCCCTGATTCTATTATATTCACCAGTTTACTCTTTTCATCAGATTTTTTATTCACTTGATTTTTAGATTCACTTGTTGATAGATATGTATTTGTTGTTCATAATTTTTATCTTTACCTTTTTCTTCTTCCTCTTCTTAAAGAATACCTTTCAGCATTTCATTTAATACTGGTTTGGTGGTGATGAACTCCTTTAGCTTTTTCTTATCAGCGAAGCTCTTTATCTGACCTTCAATTCTGAATGATAGCTTTGCTGGATAAAGTAATCTTGGTTGTAGGTTCTTGGTATTCATCACTTTGAATATTTCTTGCCACTCCCTTCTGGCCTGCATAGTTTCTGTTGAGAAATCAGTTGACAATCATATGGGTACTCCCTTGTAGGTAACTGACTTTTTTTCTCTTGCTGCTTTTAAGATTCTCTCTTTGTCTTTTGCCTTGGCATTTTAATTATGATGTGTCTTGGTGTAGTCCTCTTTGGATTCCTTTTGTTTGGGGTTCTCTGCACTTCCTGGACTTGTAAGTCTATTTCTTTCATCAGGTAGGGGAAGTTTTCTGTCATTATTTCTTCAAATAGGTTTTCAATATCTTGCTCTCTCTCTTCTTCTGGCACCCCTATAATTCGGATGTTGGTACACTTGAAGTTGTTCCAGAGGCTCCTTACACTATCTTGATATTTTTGGATTCTTTTTTTCTTTTTTTTTTTCCGGTTGGGTGTTTTTTGCTTCTTCGTATTTCAAATCTTTGACTTGATTCTTGGGATCCTCTTGTCTGCTGTTGGGAGTCTGTATAATATTCTTTATTTCAGTCAGTGTATGCTTAATTTCTAGTTGGTCCTTTTTCATATCCTCAAGGGTCTCACTAAATTTATTAGCGGTTTCCAGAAAATTCTTGAAAAACCTTATAACCGTGGTTTTGAACTCTATATCCAGTCGTTTGCTTTCCTCCATTTCTGTCATTTGTGACCTGTTTCTTTTTCTCCGCATTTTGGATGCTTCCCTGTGTTGATAGAGTGGCTTTGTGTGCTTGGTGTCCTATAGGGCCCAGTGGCTCAGCCTCCCCAATTACCTGAGGTGGACACTCTTGGTGCATCCCTTTGTGGGCTGTGTGCACAGTCTTTTGCAGTTAAGCCTTGATTGTTGTAGGTATCACTGGGAGGAATTGACCTCCAGGCCAATTGTCTGTGAGAATCAGCTGTGTCTACAGTGGGAGAACTTCTGTGCTGAAGACACCCTTATGGGGCAAGACTTGCTTCAATGGGGCTTTGGTGCTCACTGAGTCTGCCCCCTGAGTGTGTCCCTTATGGATCTGAGGAGTTGTAATCTGGATGGTCCCACTCTGACCACTGGGTACACTGGCTCTTGGATCTCTAAGGAGGTGCTAATTTAACCTCTTCCTGAGGCTACCCAGCAGGAGCTAAAGAGAGATCTGCAGATTCCTCTTCCTTGTTTGGGGTTTGGAGGTGCCCAGATGAGGCCCAGCTGTGAAGCAATGCAAGCTGCTGTGGGGCCTTGGGCCTTCTTTTGGATGTTCTGGGTCTCTCTGACCCAGCTGCAGTTTGTTAGGTAACTTTAGATTGCAAAGGGCCAGGCCATTCATATGCAAAAGCCTCTGCTAGCAGCTTGGGTGGGGCAGGGTCTCAGGGAATCAATAGGGCGGAGCAAACAGTTATGGCTGATCCTCAGCCCTGCCCTAAGAGGCCCCTGGGTCTCAGTGTCCTGTCTCAGTGTCCCACGGTAATTGGTAATCGCTGCAAGCACCTCTGAGAGGAAGCTGCCCTCGAGTTCTGCCGCTGCCAGACAGTCCAGTTTCTCCCCGTATGGGTCTGGGTCCCCAGAGCCTCGCCTGGAACTGGAGTTCAGAGCAGTTGGGAGCTTGTGTCTCCCTCCCAATTGAAAAAGACAACCTTGTCCTCAGTTGCCAGCCCTTTCTGTGCACAGCCCTCCGTACCTCTGCACTTTACTTCCGCACTTCCTCTGAGTCTCAGTGTGCTTTTTTCTTTCCTTCTAGTTGTAGAATTTCCACTCAGCCAGCCTTCCTATGGTTCTGGATGATGTCTGTCTTGTCTTTTAGTTGTAGTTTTGAAATGGTTGTGCTAGGCAGCAATTTCAGGTGTTTACCTATGCCGCCATCTTGGTTTCTCCTCTTCTTCTTTATTCCCAAACTTCCTGACTATTCTTACATGTGGTCTTAACACAGTCAGATCCAGTGCCTCAGTTTTATAACTAATAGTTGGGAATATGCCCGTCACTGTATGAAAGGAGATGACATTTATGGGTATCATAGCCCCAATCTTGGTAACAAACAACAATGCCCAACCGATTGCCAAAACAACCCAGCTGAGAATCAATCTGGCAAGCTACTCATGAAATCCTGAGGGAATTTGGGATTGCACAGCATTTACAAATCAATGTAAGCAAAATTTTCATTTTTCTAAAACATTTGTATTGATTTCAGAGAGGAAGGGAGAGGGAGAGACAGATAGAAACATCAGTGATGAGAATCATTGATCGGTTGCCTCCTGCATGCCCCACACTGGGGATGGAACCCGCAACCCGGGTGTGTGCTCTGATTGGGAATCAAACCGTGACTTCCTGGTTCATAGGTCAACACAACCACTGAGCCACACTGACCTGGCCAAAATGTTCATTTTTTACGGTATTGTGCCCCTCAGCCCTGATAACGATATATTTCCCTTCATTTGTTTATGCCTTCATTGCATCCTCCAGGGTCCTGGCAGGAAACAGACAGCACAATCAAGTAAAAAATTGATAAGTTGCTCTAGCTGGTTTGGCTCAGTGGATAGAGCGTCAACCTGCGTACTCAAGGGTCTCGGGTTCGATTCCAGTCAAGGGCACATGCCAGGTTGTGGGCTTGATCCCCAGTGTGGGGCATGCTGGAGGCAGCCGATCAATGATTCTCTCTCATCATTGATGTTTCTCTCTCTCTCCCCCTCTCCCTTCCTCTCTGAAATCAATAAAAATATATTTAATTTAAAAAAAAAGCAATTGATAAGTTTAGCAAAGTGACTGTTAGACACAGTGGATAGGATTTAGGGAAATCAGAAAGGACGCTACAGCAGTTCAGGGTGGAGTCCTTACAACCCCAGAGTTAAAATGGCAAAGGGAAGGAGTGATTAGTGGCATTTGGGAAGAGTGGCCATGAGGAGGGCATCAGCTGAAAAGAGTTTCATTAGTGGGTCGCAGCCAACCCACAGCCTCTCACAGGGTGGAGGGAGCCAAGGAGTTATACACTCGGACCCCATGGGAAGCTGTTGATGAAGTTCTTACAGCTCAGCCTCCAGGGACGCAGAGCAGGGTGGGAAGGCCTGAAGAGTGGATCTGGAGGGGAAATGGCCCACACACAGCTTCTAGGTAAAGCGTCATAGCCTCCCACCCTCCTCCCACGCCCTTCCTCCCCGAGCATTTCATGTCAGTTTTCTTCTCAAGTCTTTCATCACTTTGTTACTGTTTGGAATGGGACCCGTCCTTCTATAACCAATCTGGATCAATGACTGTTTATATGGGAGAAGGCTACTGATTTTGACAAATTGTTTGCATAGCAAAGTGATTTGATAAGAAGGCATTTGACTTTTACTGCCTGTGTGAATATCATATGGTATGTGACCTGGGGAATGTCCATTATCTTTCCTGCATTAATTCCAACATTTGTGTTAAAAGGGGGGGGGGGGTAATACAATATACTTTTTTAGTATTTAATGAGATAATACATATACAGCAGTTTAAACAGTGTCTGCTTCATAACAAATCCTCAGGAAAGATCATGCATTATTATTATATCTAATACTTTTCAGCTGATTTGGGGCACCATGGGCTTTTCAATTCAGCATATTAACCCTGATCATTATCAGCTGATTCCCCACGCCAAACTGCATTTTTCAAATTCTCCCCAGACGGACTGGGTGAAGGATTTTAAAAAGAACTGGTTACAGTGGGGCCTTGACTTACGAATTTAATTTTTTGTTATGGGGTGGGGCCACAACATTAGTAACAAAGAAACAGAATTTCCGGAGGATGAGGCCCAGAAATCAGGATTTTAAAAAGATTCCCAGGTGATTCTAATGTGCAGCCAAGGTTGAGAACCACTGATCTAATGGGACCGGTCAGGGATGCTGCTAAACATCTTACAATGCCACAGAGGGTCTCTCAGAAAATGCCAGTAGCGCTGGGGGTGAGAAACTCTACTGTAAAAAAGAAGAATGATCAGCCCTGGCTAGTTTGGCTCAGTGGATAGAGCGTCGGCCTGCTGACTGAAGGGTCCCAGGTTCAATTCCGGTCAAGGGCACATGCCCGGGTTTTGGGCTCGATCCCCAGTGGGGGACATGCAGGAGGCAGCTGATCAATGATTCTCTCTCATCACGGATGTTTCTCTTCTCTCCCTTCCTCTCTGAAACAATAAAAATATATTTTTAAAAAAGAAGCAGCATAAAGGAATGAAATAGAAATTATTTTTAAAAAGAAGAAGAATGATCAGTCCCCCAGGATGTGCAGATTTAGAGACGGCCTTGCCCCGGTTATGGAGGTGGAAATAAGAGGAACCTGGTATTTCTGCAAATCTCATGTCTGGGGCGGCTTGAATAGTCATGCTCCTCCCCCTACCCACCAACCTTGTCTTTGCACTTGGAAACTCACTCCAGGTCTGGCAGCCCAGAGTCTGTGACTTTACACCTCCTGTTCGTCCTCATCTCAGAAGACCCCAGACAGGGACCCACGCCACGCCACCAAGAAAGGTATTGGGAACTTTGGGATCATTTAAGTAACTGGATAGAGGAGCCATTCATTGTTAGGGAGCAGGGAGGGGAGGGAACCCAAGCCATAGGCCAAACAATGTTTTTTCGAACTTAAAGAGAAATGTGGGTAGTCGCAAAGATCAGTTCTTCGAAGAGGAAGTCAGACTTCTAATGATGTTAGGCCTGGCTCTCTGGAGTTTGTCTCTGATTTGTGTGACTTTGAGGAAGTCCATGCCATTGCGAGGAGCTCCCAGCAGCGCATGGTGGAGCAGTGTGCCAGCCTGTTTGAGGCTACGGTGCTGGGCTGGTGTTCTAAGTGGCCGGTTTGGTGTTCTCTTTCTCTTAGTTGATGCTATGGGGCGCCTCTCCGGCTGACCTGGACACCTGCTGGCTTCAACTAGATGTCTACACTTCCTTCCGGAAGAAGGCTAAAGATGGTAAGAAGAGCTTAGATATCCCTAAAAGGTGTTATCTGTAATCTCGGTGGGAAGAACTGAAATCAGCTGGCAAGAGCCACAGTGAGGAATCCGTACTTTGGCGATTGGCTGGGGACAAGTTCTCGGTGATATTTCACCATCAATATTAAGCACAGGGCATGTTGTAATTTCGGATTGATTAACACTCGCTCTGTCCGATTCCTGCGAGCGTCCATGTGTGCTGTACTGCGGAGGGGCAGATGTTTGCATTGGGAAAATAGCTCCTCTGGGCCCAATGCTTTTCATCCTACGGACAGATTTTCATGGATTTCAGAGCAGAAGGGAGAGGAAGAGAGAGAGAGAAACATCACTGATGAGAGAGAACCAGTGATCGGCTGCCTCCTGCATGCCCCCTACCAGGGATTGAGCCTGCAACCCGGGCATGTGCCCTTGCCTGGAATCGAACCCGGGACCCTTCAGTCTGCAGGCTGACGCTCTATCCACTGAGCCCAGCCGGCTAAGGCTTGTGTCTTCATTTGTATCGGCTGGACCTGATGTTCAATGATGAGAGCACCTGAGAGAGAGGTGTGGGGGGTACACGACACTGGGGTCCCATCATAGCAGGCTCCCTGATGGCAGTGTTTCACTGTCACCTGAGGTGACTGCCTTTCGTACAGTTGCCAGGCAGGGTCTGGGAGCACCTGCTTCTGAGCACGGAGAAGGGGGGCGGGGAGGCTTGTCCTACTTTTAGCCATTTCAGTGCCGCTATGTCAGCATTTTCTCGATGTCACACTGGTCAGCTGTCATATTTTGATGCCAGCAGAGTTTTAGGGATAAAATGGTACCTGGTCAAGATGAAGTGAGTTGGTAGCTGCAAACAAAGGTGTGTGGAGAAGTTCTGTGTGTGAAGAGGAAAAAAGAAAATTGAAGTTGATTTGAGCCCTGGCCAGAGTTGCTCAGTGGTTAGCGCGTTGACCTGCTCACCAAAGGGTCGCAGGTTCGTTTCTCAGTCAAGGGTTGAGGGCACCTGCCTGGGTTGCAGGTTCAATCCCAGCCCAGGTTGGGGTGAGTACAGGAGGCAACCAATTGATGTGTCTCTCTCATGTCAATGTTTCTCTCTCTCTGTCCCTTTCTCTCTCTCTCTCTCTCTCTCTCTCTCTCTCTCTCTCTCTCTCTCCCTCCCTCCCTCCCTCCCTTCCTCTCTCTCTCTCCTTTTCTCTCTCCCTTCCTCTCTCTCTCTCCTTTTCTCTCTCTCTCTCCCTCCCTTCCTCTCTCTCTCCCTTTCTCTCTCTCTCTCTCTTTCGTCCCCCCTCCCTTCCGCTCTCTCTGAAAAGCAACAGAAAAAATATCCTCAGGTGAGGATTTAAAAAAATGGGTTTGAAAAATGAAAGACAAGACAACCAGAGCTGGGCAGTAGTTAAAGCTATGAACGCAGACTGTCCAGGGACTATGCGAGAGGGGAAAAGAGAACTTGGCATAGAACTGGGCTCCCTCCCAAAGCCAGCAGACGAGTGGGGATTTACAGGCAAGGAGCAGACGGAGGCTCGGTGGGTGGCAAATGACTAGGAGGGAGCATCAGGGTTAGGGGCCTGTGGGAGAAACTTAGCTGCCAGGGTCCTCGCTGGGAGCGGGAGCGGGCCAGGGAGACCAGTTGTCAGCCAGGAGGGGGCAGGGATGAGGTAGGGATCGGATAGCAAGCTTGACCAGATAGCAAGGGTGAGGCATTCTCACTAAACGGATTGAGCAGAAATCTGAAAACTGGGCGGATGGACTCAGATGCCCCAAAGTCAAGGTCTGGTGGCTCAGGGGAGCCTGACAGCTTTGCCCAGTGAGCCTGTCAGTGCTGGCTGACTCGGTTGCTAGCTGGAGGACCTATCCCCCGAGCCCCCTGAAACTCAGTTTCTCTGATTATCGAATGACCATTGGAATACCTTTCCGGTTGTGTCTTAGGGCCATTGTGAGGCTCAAATAACAGCGTATAGGTTCAAGCCTTTTGCAAGCAGTGTGAGTTATGAGGTCTGCCGAATATTATCAGAAAAACACATCGGCGGCCTTTTTCTGAAGTGGTTCTGTCGCCCGAATCAGACGTGATAGGATACACTCACCAGGAGCCCACTCCGACTTGTAGCTCTGAAGGCTGGCGCCAGGGCTTCCCTGTGGGTCTAAGGTCTAACAAAGAGTTAACCTCGGGTTTATTATGTTACGAAGGAGACAACTGCTTAGAGTTTCATTTCCTAGAAACTGAGATGGCGATTTTTCTGCAAACCCATGCCCACACCAGCCTTTGCCCCTCGAGGGATGGCATGGAGGATGGATAGACAGCTCATGTTTGGTCCAGCCGGTGTGGCTCAGTGGTTGAGCGTCGACCTAGGAACCAGGAGGTCACAGTTCAATTCCTGATCCGGGCACATGTCCGGGTTGCAGGCTCGATCCCCAGTGGGGGGCGTGCAGGAGGCAGCCGATCCATGATTCTCTCTCATCATGGATGTTTCTATCTCTCTCTCTCTCCCTCTCCCTTCCTCTCTGAAATCAATAAAAATATATATTTTTTAAAAAGGCAGCTCATGTTTGTTGACCATTTACAAGCCAAGCATCATGCTGAGGCCTTCATGTTTAGGAAGCAGCGCGTGAGGCCCTGAGGAAGACCCTCCAAGCCCTGGGGAGCTTGACTGAATGGCCTTGACTGACCTTGACCGGGCACCTGACTCTGGAAGCCATGTCGGGGACCCAGCCCAACAGTTACCTAGCGAACACGCAGGGAATGCAGGCTTCCATTGTGATATCTTACTACTTAACAACAACAAAAAAGGAGAAGTTGGTATGTCTCTTTAAAGAAGAGACGTGGAAAAATGTTTTAAGAGAAGCAATACAAGGGCCAGAAAGCACAGGAAATGATGGCACCTTCTTAATAGTTAAAGGTCTGATCTTTTGATATGGAAATCCCCCTTCTAAAATCTCTTGTTAAAGAAATGATCAGCAATGTGGCAAACTGTTTACAAAGATAGTGTATGGCCCTAGCTGGTTTGGGTCAGTGGATAGAGTGTCGGCCGCAGACTGAAGGGTCCCGGGTTCAATTCCGGTCAAGGGCCCATTGCTCGGTTGCAGGCTTCTCCCTGGCCTGGCCCTGGTCGGGGCTCGTGCAGGAGGCAACCGATCCATGTGTTTCTCTCACATCGATATTTCTCTCTGTCTTTCCCTCTCTCTTCCGCTCTCCCTAAAAAATCATTGGAAAAATATCCTCAAGTGAGGATTAACAACAACAAAATAATAATAAAAAGATAGTCTATGCAGCATGGCAAAGGGAATCTCTCATGTCCAATGTTGGGGAGGGGTTCATTCATTGTACTTCACCGTTGAGTGGAATATTATGTAGCCATCAAATCATTTTTTAAAATAATACTGAATGACATAAGCAAATACACATGATATAAAGATAAATGAGCCGAAACCGGTTTGGCTCAGTGGATAGAGCGTTGGCCTGCAGACTGAAAGGTCCCAGGTTCGATTCTGGTCAAGAGTATGTACCTGGGTTGCGGGCACATCCCCAGTAGGAGATGTGCAGGAGGCAGCTGATCGATGTTTCTCTCTCATCGATGTTTCTAACTCTCTATCTCTCTCCCTTCCTCTCTGTAAAAAATCAATAAAATATATTAAAAAAAAAAGGTAAATGAAAAAAAGCAAGCTACAGATGGGTAACTATCATATATTCCTGATGTTTTTAATACACATGCTAGATGCTTACTCAATGCCAGTTAATCTGTGATGATGGTTTACATGAATAAATGTGTTACCTGGTTAAAAAAAATTCAACTGAGTAAATGTAAAGATCGAATTGGCTTTATTAAGCGATTCATGAATCCGCAGCATCCCATGTAACAAGGAGAAGGGTGCTCCAAGGGGTTGTACAAAATGGGAAGTTTTGCCTGGCTGGTGTGGTTCAGTGGTTGAGCATCGACCTATAAACCAAGAGGTCACGGTTGGAATCCCGGTCAGGGCACAGGCCCAGATTGCGGGCTTAATCCCAGTGGGGGACGTGTAGGACACAGCCAATCAATGATTCTCTCTCATCATTGATGTTTCTTTTCTTTTTTGTTGTTGTTCTCTTGATCTTTTTTTAAAATTTTAATTAAATCTTTATTGTTCAGATTATTACAGTTCCTCTTTTTTCCCCCCATAGCTCCCCTCTACCCAGTTCCCATCTCTCCCTCTCCCTTCCTCTCTGAAATAATATATATATATATATATTTTTTTTTAAATGGAAAGTTTTATAGGAAGAAGGGTGGGGCAAGGGAGCTATTAACAAACAAAAGAAAGGATTATTCTATTTTAGTAACTTGAGAGAGAGAGACAGAGAGTTGCTGTTCCATTTATTTATGCATTCATTCATCAGTTTGCTTCTTGTATGTACCCTGACTGGGGACTGAACCCACAGACCTTGGCGTATTGGCCCAATGCTCCAACCAATTAAACTCCTGAGCCAGGGTGAAAGGACTATTCCTGTGCCCAGGCATCTTTCCTTGGGGGAGGAGAACCGAAGGGTTTGCCATGCAGGTTGCCTCTTCTTCCTGTGGGGGATGGAGAGCGCCCACCAGCACAGGTCACTTCACTGGTGCCGGACCAGCAAATTCAAGACTGGGCGAGTAGGATGATGTTTCTGGGAGAGGCTGAAATTGCAATCAGATCAGGTGTGAAATCTAGCTTCGGTAGCATGGGCTTTTAGCACGAGTGACGCCATTTTGGACCCGTGGGTTTCTCTTTAACAGTTAGGACCCCAAGAATAGATCATGTATGTCTTAGACGCCCCCCCAAGTTAAGGGCTGGGCTTGGCACGTTATGACTGTGGGCCAGACCCAGCCTGCCACCAGTCTTTGTCTAGCCCACAAGGTAAGAATGTTTCCTTATGTTTGAAGAGATTGAAAAAGTGAAAGGAAGAATATTCCTTCTCGACGTGTAAAAGTTGTATTAAACTCAAATGTCAGTGTCCACAAATAGGTGTCTTATTTGTGTATTGTCTGTAACTG